CACCGCATTCACCTCACTGCCCTTTGTCTCGCCGGCACCCCACATCCCGCACCCTGCAACCCCCAACCTTCCAATTCCGCCCATTCCCTCCATTCCCCCCATTCCCCCCATTCCCCCCATTGCCCCCATTGCCCCCATTCCCCCCATTCCCCCCATTCCCTCCGTTCCCCCCATTCCCCCCATTCCCCCCATTGCCTCCATTGCCCCCTTCCGTGTGTCTCTCCTGGCATCTCTTCCGTGGCGCACCGTATCCCACGTGTCATCAGATGGAGTGTCGTGAATTCCGAGAGTCCATCTTGAGGCACCTGCCGCACCGATGGGTGAGTGCTCGCTTTCCCTCCTGGGCTGGCATGTACGTGCTGCCGTGCACTTGTATCTACTGTCACATGCCGTGCTGACTCGACTCGAACCCTGTGCTGGATAGATAGCCAATTCTGCAGGTGGAGGAGAGTTCAATGGGGGTGCCACATGGTCCACACCCCTGCTTCGCCTCCTCCACCTTTGGTACCCCGCTGCAAGTCCCCCTGAACCATCGCCACGACACTTACTTTGAGCTCGCCAGCATCCACCGCCCCCGCGTGCACTGGCGGCCTCCACCCCTGGTGATTCACCCCTCCGCCCCCTCCCCCTCTTCTCCCCCTCCCCCCCCCCCCCCCGCCCCCCCTTTCATCTCCCCCAGGACCATCGCCACGACACATACTTCGAGCTCGCCAGCATCCACCGCCACCGCCGCCGCATGCACAAGCGCCTCCCCGGAAATGGCAAGCACGGGGCGCCGCACCACGCCTCGCACCCCCACGGCACACCCCCCCGGCTGCTGGCTGGAAGAGATCACGAGAGGAATGTGTTTGCGCGGGTGGTGGGGAAGGCTGTTGACGCCGCTGGCTCGACTAAGAAATCAAAGGTGAGGCATTGCATTGCATGCTTGTGTCACACGCCTTAACCCCACAGCACGGCCCCAGCTGCTAGCTGCGCTCGCCAGCACTCCAGCTTGCCGCCGGCACACCCCGCCAGCACACCTGCTGTCTTTGGGGTTGGGACCTCTACACTGTCCTTCTGTTGACCTCCCCTCCGCCCCGCCCAATGGCCCAACCCCCCGTACCCCCCGTCCTTGCTACTCGCAACATGCAGTGCACCACAGCCACGGCAACGTGTCGGCACACCACTGGTGGGCGCACAACACACTGATAGCGCACGTGGAGGAGGGCATCGAGGTCACTCTTCTCTTCAAGCCCCCCCCCTCCCTTCTCTCCCCCCCCACCCTGCCTATTCTGATACTCCAACCCCCCATTCATCACCCATCGTTGCTACTCGCAGCATGCAGTCCATCACACCCACGGAAATGCCTCAGCGCACCACTGGTGGGCGCACGACAGGCTGATAGCTCATCTGGAGGAGGGCATTGAGGGGGCTTTGAGGTGAATTGACCCCCCTCTCTCCCCCGTTTGAATGCTTGCCATTGCCAGCATGCGGTGCACCATACTCATGGCAACGCGTCGGCACATCACTGGTGGGCGCACAACGCCATCATCGCGCACCTGGAGGAGGGTATCGAGGTGATCCACCTGTACTCCGGCCGCACCATCTGCAAGCTGCTGCTGCCCGACCACGGGCTGCACGCCGACGTCAATGGGGACGGGGTTCTCGATCATGTGCAGGTGAGACCTGGGGAAGGTGATGTCAGGTTCAAGTGAGGCCTAGTGCTGGTGGTGCCAGGGGGGCATCGAAGTGATCCACCTGTACACCGGCCGCACCATCTGCAAGCTGCTGCTGCCCGACCACGGGCTGCATGCTGACGTCAACGGGGATGGGGTTCTCGATCACGTGCAGGTGAGATATGGGGAAGGTGATTCCTGGTGTATTTAGGACTAACTGCATGGCAAGTGAGCCATCTGCGAGCTGCTGCTGCCCGATCGCGGGCTGCACCCTGACATGAATGGGGACGGGGTTCTTCTTGTGATTGCGTCTACTTGAGCATCTGAATCCGAATCAATGCCTGGCATTACAAAGGACTAGCACATCCAATAACAGTCCTGCAGCGTCCAGACATGGGTTTCGAGGTCAGATTCATGGGAGCAATGACAAGGGGGACAACCACTTGTGATCACAGAGGCTCCAGGGTAGCAACGTCAAAGGGGGTAGCCAGGTGTGATCGCAGAGGCTTCATGGTAGCAACGACAAGGGGACATCCACGTGGGATAGCCACTCCACTGTCTCATTTGCCGTTGTTAGCATGGAGCTCCTGCGAACACACCTGGCTGTCCCCCTTTGTCGTTGTTACCATGGAGCTTCTGCGATCACACGTGACTGTCCTTCTTGTCGTTGCTCCCATGAATCTGACCCTGAAAACCATGTCTGGACGCTGCAGGACTATTATCGAATGTGTTAGTCATTTGTAACGTCTGCCACTGATTCGGATTCAGATGCTCAAGTAGAAGCAGTCACAAGTGTGAACCCCGTCCCCATCCCCATCCCGGGAGTGAGCCATGTGCAAGCTGCTGCAGCTGAACTTCATCACTCACCTTGTCCGGCATTCTGTCCACCCACGCCCTTGCATCCCTCCTCCTCCTTAGCAGACACCACGTGCATTTGGCGGCAAGGAGAAGGTATCGGAGGTGGTGAGGTCGTGCTGGACCGTCGCCATGTCGGGCATCCCCCCCACCCACACCCTTGCATACCTACCTCCCCCCTTGCATCCCTGCCTTCCTCTTTGCATGCCTCCTTGCCTCTTGCGCTTCTTATTAACAGCAGGCATCAGGCGCGTTTGGAGTCGAGCTGTTCACCTTTGGTGGCGAGGAGGAGGCGTCGGAGGGGGTGATGTCGTGCTGGACCGTGGCCATGTCGGGCATTCCCCCCACCCACACACCCTTGCGCCCCTGCTCCTCCCGTTTTCATCCCTGCCTCTCTGCGTGGGTTGCAGGCGTCGGGGGCGCTGGGCGACGAGCTGTTCACGTTTGGTGGCGAGGAGGAGGCGTCGGAGGTGGTGAAGTCATGCTGGACCGTCGCCATGTCCGGCATTCCCCCCACTCAGCCGCTCTTCAATGGCTCTGTCTGCCGCCCCCAGGCGTCCCTCTTCAACCTCGCGTGAGTCCCCCTTTGAGTCGTGTCAGGGCGCGTTTGCTGCCCTTTCATGTGTGTCTCCAGCTGATCTACAGGCGTCTGCCAGCCCCAGGCGTCCCTCTTCAACCTCGCGTGAGTCCCACCACCCCCTTGAGTCGTCTCAGGGCGCCCTTGCTTGCCGCCCTTTCAAGTGAGTCTTAGCTGATCTGAAAGGCATCTGCCGCCCCCAGGCATCCCTCTTCAACCTTGCGTGAGTCTTAAGTCATCTCAGCTATTCTCTATCCTTTTTCCCCCACCCCTCTTCCCCGACAGCTCGGAGTTCCAGGACCAGTGGAACGAGCACGCCACAGGGCAGCAGCGGGTGGCAGTGGTGGCGCCCATCCTGCTGCCGCGCAGGGACAGGCATCACCGCCACCAGCGGCGGCACGGTGATGTCATCTACTTCAACAGCAGAGGCGAGGTGAGAGGCGTGGGGAAGGGAGGGGCATGGGGAAGGGAGGGAGGCATGAGAACAAGGAGGTGAGAGGCAAGGGCTGGTGAAAGGGATTTGGGGTATAGGCTTACTGACAGGTACCACCGCCACCAGCGGCGGCACTGCGACGTCATCTACTTCAACTACAGGGGCGAGGTGAGAGGGTGTTCATATATGGGGTAGCCTTTGTGCTGCAGTTATGTGCTATGGTAATCTTTGTACCATCTGCGCCCTGTGGCCTTCCCATCCCCGCTCACTGCTGCCCACAGCAGCGTTCTTGGCTCACACCCATGTTCCCTCCCCTCCCCCCCACGCACACCTAGATCACCTCATACACCACGGAGTCTCTGAGCAGCAAGGGCCCGCACAGCCACCTCAAGTGGCAGATCAGCACCGACGCCAAGTGGACGCTCCCCAACCCGGCGGGATTGTTGGACCTTATCTAACAGGCCTTTTCCCCTCACACTCCCCTCCCCAGATCACCTCCTACGCCACGGAGTCCCTCAGCAGCAAGGGCCCGCACGGCCACCTCAGGTGGCAGATCAGCACGGAAGCCAAGTGGACGCCCTCCGACCCGGCCTCCTCCTTCGACTCCGCCTCCCCCCACACCAACGTGCCGTCTCTCCGCGCCATGGCGCTCAAAGCAGGCGGCCGGCCGGAGGTGGTGCTGGCGGTGGGGGACAGCGAGGCCGTGTTCGTGTCGCCGGGGGGGAAGATCCTGGGGACCCTGGCGCTGCCCACGACGCCCACGGAGCCGATTATAGTGGCGGACTTCAACGGGGACCGCCTGAACGATATTATTGTCGTCACGGCCATTGGCCCGTATGGGTTCGTCCAGGTGAGGGCCGCTTGCTTGTGCACCTGGTTCTGTCGAGCTGCTGCTCACCTGATCTCTTCTGCGCGCCTCTCTGCGTGGAATCTAGCTGCTGTGTTGCCTGTAGGATTCTGTCCTCTGCAACTGCCGTGCTTTTGAGTCGACTAAAAAACTTCGGGCTGTGTGCCGTGCCCTTGGGAATCGCTCGATGTGTTTCTCCCGTTCTTGCGGGTTCACTTCACTTCCTCCCTTGCACAGGTGCGGCAACCAGGAGCCGTGCTGCTGTCCTCGCTGCTGGGCTGCCTCGTTATAGTGATGAGTGTCATCTTCGTCTCTCTGCATCTCGACAACCCTCGCGGAAAGCCCCGTGGTCGAAGCACCGACTAGAGGCATGTGGGCCAGTAGGGGTTATCCAAGAAGATGACACTATGATACCCTGCGTTGCATGAGGGTGACGTGTGGGTGGTGTATTGTACTTCTGGAAAGTTTATTAGACGCATTTTCTAGGTTAAATGTGTACATCAAATCAACAACCATAAAGTGGTTACCAAGATGAATTTTAGAAAAGCTGAGCCATTTGTTTGAGGTGTACACACGTAGGGCAACCAGAATTCGCCCATAACGAGGACGCGTTACTCCCCTCTCCCACCTCACCCCGAGCGCTCTCACACAATACTACTGTCCCATCTGTCGCGTGCCGCCGATCACGCCGCGCTAGCCGGCGATTAGTGAGCATGGCGTCCCTTCGCCGCCTCTCCTCGTCGCCCGCGTCGCTCCAGCTCCGCTCTCTACTCGCCAGACGAAGCTTCCTTCCGCCTTCCCACACCATCCATGTGGACCCTCCCTGTCAGCAACTAGATCGCACTGCCGAGCTGAGAATCCCGTCGGGTTTAGACGCGTTGAGTTTGGACGCGTCGGGTTTGGACGCGTGGAGTTTGGACGCGTCGGGTTTGAACACCATTCTCGGTTTTCCGCATAATCCGCAGTTTGGCTTGGCGTACACTTCACCTGGGCTGTCTCCGCTTGAGGGTTCCGCTTCCGCCCAAGCGCTGCCGTGGGGGGAGCACGCGGGGGCGGGGTTGGAGTGCGGGCGCGGGGACAAGCGCACGAGGCGGGGGAAGATCTTCAAGGGGTCGTACGGCAACGCGCGGCGGGACAAGAAGCGCGAGAACCAGCGCCTGCGGGAGAAGTGGGAGCTGCCGCCCGGAGTGAGCGCCGAGGACGCCTTCACCGGGCGGTAATTGATGACGTGTCAACACTATGGCGTGAGCGCGTGGTTGATGGCTTGGAAGCACGTCCAAGGGGATAGGATGCAAGTGCTCATAGTTAGGCGGCATGGTCAGGGTACTAAGTACGAGTAGGAGCAAGAGCACTCTACTCTACTATGCAGGTCGGTGCGAGCCTGGATTGATTTCTTAGGGTGCCTGGAAATCTTGATGATGTGTGCTACGAGTTCTCAGGACCTACGTTCTCAGCTCTTGGGTTGAAGCATGCTCGGTTCAATTCTCCTTCCCTTGGCATCCATCCAAACATGTCTCCTCCGTTACCCTGTCTGGTATGCAGCAGATTCGCAGCAGCGCTGCCAGTCCTGGCTTGTACCGATGCCAGGACTAGCAGGACTAGCCTGGACCAGCAGTGCTGCTGCAAATGCCTGAAAGCAATTTGCAGGCTAGAATGGGTGACCCATCATCACATAGAGAGGGCACTTGCCCCAAGGGGGCGCTCTCCCCAACCCCCCACCCCACTCTTGTATCTCTAGCAAGACGAGCTAACCCTCCCACTCTTCATCACGCTCCCCATTCTTCCCTACTCCATCAGCTTCAACCACACTTGCTCCATCCGTACCGATCCCACCATGCTTGCATCTGACACTCCAAGGCGCACACACACGCCGCTCGAGCAGAGTGGCCGTCAGTTGCACTTGCCCCTCGCAGTGCCTGCCACTGCTCCACCCCCAACCTCTGCCTGCGCCGCCTTCACCAGGTCCAGCAAGTGCGGCACCAACTCCCCCAGCTTCCCCCCGGCCACTTCCGTCCAGTCAATCAACCAGACGCACTCAGTCACATTTCCCCCTGGCTGAACTCGCCGCACCCCCAGCACCCACCTCCGCCTGCAGCGCCTTCACCAGGTCCAGCAACCGCGGCACCAACTCCCCTAGCTTGCCCCCTGCCACCTCCCCCATACCACTGCCCCCATTCTGCCTTCCTCCGCTCCCCTCCCCCTCACCATCCCCACCAGCATTCGCAGCAGCAGCCGCAGCCGCAGCTGCAGCAGCAGCAGCAGCAGCAGCAGCAGCAGCACCATTCCCAGCAGCGGCAGCCATGGCGTCCGATAGCAGTATGTCACTCAGCTGAGGCTCGTCATTCGCTGCTGCTGCTGCTGCTGCCGCCCGTGCCCTCTCCTCCTCCACCCTCCTCTGCTCCACCTCCCCCGCCAACTTCCTCGCAGCTTCCCTCATTACAGTCACGCACTGGGATACACAAGATGCCAGCTGGCCGCCTTTTGGGACTATAGGGGGGGATGCCGTGGCGCTTCTTGGTGGTGACAGGTGGCTGCTGACGTGGAGGACGCGGAGGAGGAGTGTGAGTGTGCGAGATACTGAGGTGGCGACGTCCTGTCGGGTATGGGGTGGTGAGAAGGAGATGGACATTGGAGAAACCATACAAGGCACTTGGCAGGGGCATAATCAGTCCTTAACCAAACCACCATAGTGAATCCACCACTTCTCTTGCACTCCTACGCCTTGGTTGGAATCACCATATCCCTCCACATAAGCACACCTTCCACAGTCACTATGGGCCATGCATGCAATGCAGCTGTTCGGCATTTTACAGAATAAAGCCAAACCCCCATTTCTGACTCGGTGTGTCCCTTCACTATAAGCACAACCCATGGTCACAGCCAGGGCATGCAGCCGCCCAGTACTCACCAGGGTAAAGCCAATGCCATGCTTGCACTCCCTTGTGTCTGCGTCACCATCTCCCTTTGCTATAAGCACACTCCCCATGGTCACTGCCAAGGAATCTAGCAGCCACGCCAAGGGCTGCTCGGCTCGGGTCCGGTCCGGATCCAGCAGCAGCGGCCACACCCAGTGTGCTTCGGCAACCGAGCCAAGCCACGCCGGACCCGGGCCTCCAGGCTCGGCAGAGCCTGGTTGGTTCGGAATCAGGAATGGAAAAGAGGCTCGGGAGGGCAGTGCTTTGGAGACAAAGGTTCGAACGTCTGGAGATGAAGCCTGGAGGGGGGGCAGCAGCAGGGTATGGGATGTGCATTAAGGGTGGCTCAAGACATGGCCGAACACAACCAGAGGCGTGTTAACACATGGTTCGTGCACTTGCAAAGTGAACGGGTCATGTCAGGCCAATAAGGATAATTAGCAGTGAGGGCGGTGCAGTGGGATGCTGTTGGTCCACTGGACCACCACTGGACCACACTGGACCACACTGGACCACACTGGACCACACTGGACCACCACTGGACCACCACTGGACCACACTGGACCACCACTGGACCACACTGGACCACACTGGACCACACTGGACCACACCGGACCACACTGGACCACCACTGGACCACACTGGACCACGGCACCACAGTGTACCACAGCACCATTGCACCAGTGTAGCACTGCAACAGTGGATAAGGGAGGTGCTGTTGAACGAGTGTGCTTACAGTGAGGAAGAGCAGAACCGTGTCAATCCACTGCCACGCAGGTGGAAATTGGGGCGCGAGTGGTGATTCTGCATGTCTGTCCGTGGCTGGTGGAGCGACAGGAGTGCTTGGCTTGGGCGGTGAGAGCGAGGAGTGAGCTGCCACCAGGGCTCGACACAGGCCAGACTGGTGGGAGGGAGTGAGAGGGATGGGAGGGAGTGGGAGGGAATGGGAGGGAGTGGGAGGGAATGGGAGGGAGTGGGAGGGGATGGGAGGGGGAGAATGAAGGGTAAAGAGAACAAACAAACAACAAAACAAAACAAATTTGAAGCCTCAAGGAACCTCTTGCTTGCACAGGGATGGATTAGCACTGGTTACAGAGTCAAACTGAAGAGCAGGAGAGCACACGCCACGCAGCACAAACTCAGGACCAGCAGGGGCTTCATTGTTCTTGCCACCGATCAAACAGATACCGATACCGATCAAACGGATACCTTGATTGCCGAGTCACCGATACCTTGATTGCCGAGTCACCGATACCTTGATTGCCGAGTCACCGATACCTTGATTGCTGAGTCACCGATACCTTGATTGCCAAGTCACCGATACTGCGCGCAACAGCAGGGGAAGGGGCGGATGAGGCGGCAGCTTGGATCCAGAACAGCAGCACGCGCTGCAGGTGGCCTGACACGTGGCCAGGGGCAGTTGCTACAGTGACACTTGTTGGTGCTGGATGGATGGTCGATGCCCACTGCACCAGATCTCCCAAACCAGGGCCAAACGCGTTTACAGCCATCCAAACCTTTCGCCGAACCAGCTTCTCGTCCAAGCCCCCTGCCGAGCCTGGCCCTCCTCCTCCCCCTTCGCTACGCGATTCCTTCCCCCTAGGTGCATGTGGGAGGGGAGAGGGGGAGGTAGGGAGGTGGGCGATGAGGGAAGAGAGGAGGGCGACGGAGGTGGCAGTAGCAGTGAGGGCGGGGGGAGGGGTCTTGAGAGGAGGGGAAGTGGGGGAGGGCGGAGGGCGGGAGGAGAGCGAGTGAGGGAGGGATAGGTGAGGGGAGGAGGCAGCTGCCTGAATGGCTTCCAATGTCTGCGATATCACGTTGCTGCCACTGCTGGCAGTGCTGCTGTGAATGCTACTGATGCCTGGGGCAGTGGTGCCAGTAGCACCACTGCCAGCAGGGTTGGAGGAGGGGGGGGAGGAGCAGAGCCACAGCAGTCGAGGGGAAAGAAGGTCCAGATAGTGGGCCAGCAGGACCGGATAAAAACCCTCGCCATCCACTGCGTTGTGTCCTACCCCTGCTCCACATGCCCTCCCCCCTTCCACATCCCCTTCCACATCCCCTTCCACATCCCCATCCCCATCCCCATTGCTTTTTGTACGGGTTACTGCACCCTCCGTGTGTCCCTCTCTGGTTGGCTGTCCGCCGATCAGCACAGCCAGCATCGCCACATCATCAACCAGCCCTGCCTGCCCCCACGCTGAGTCAGCGCTCCCGGGGAGAGCGCCCTGCAAGCTGCCGAGCAACGCTGCCCACTTGGCGAGCACAGCTGACCAATCAGAGGGGCCCTCTAAACGCTGCTGCTGCTGCTGCTGATGATGATGATGCAGATGATGCTGGTGATGATGGGTGTGATGGTGGTGGTGGTCTAGAGCGGGGAGAGATGGGAGAGTCTCGTCCTCAAGGGGCAGCCAGTCCGATGCGTCTGACGCCTCTGAGCGCGAACACAAGGGGGCGAGAGGGAGGGGGGGGATGAGACAGGATGGTGTGGTGAGCTGGGGGGAGGCAAGAAAATGAGAGGAAGTAAAAAAACGAAGAAGTGCAGGTGGAATCCAACCTGTCAACGTACCATCCGATTCTGCATGCTTATGTGCGTCACCCACAACATCACCATCGCCACCACCACCATCATCTTCACCTCCCCCAGCACCAGCTGCAGCAGCGGCCACAGCGTTGTCACTGCTGCTGCCACTCGCCTCCGGCACGCCCAAACCTTCCTTGACAGCCTCGCCATCTGAAGCTCTAGTCTCCTTTGACTGAGGTTCGGCAGGAGGTTCGGCAGGAGGGGCGAGAAGCTCCGGAGGTTCGAGGTGCAAGGAGGAGAGGGCAGCTGAGAACGCCTTTACTCCTGCGTCCCCGGGCAGTTTGAAACAGTTTGCAGGCAGCTTTACCAGGAGAGATGCTGCAGGAACAAACAGCCGGAGAAAAATCGCAGTGTCAAATCAAATCACCCAATGACAGATCCGATCTATGTGGCCAAGAGCAAGATGGCGCAACGCAACTGCCGCAATAAAAGTGCAGACGCAACCCTACCACCCACCAGCAATGTGAGCAGCTGCGTCCCCAAGCTGACTGCTGCCTGCTCTTCCCTGCTCCTCATCCACCGCGCCCCCACCGCCTCCTCCCTCCCCTGCACCTACTGACTCCTCCCCGGCCGCCATCCCTGCCGCTCCCTCTGCTCCCCCCCTCCCGCTCCCTCCTGCTACCTCGGCTGAATCTGCAGGAGCTGCTTCGCTGCCCCATCTGCCCGCCTGCGCTTTCTGAGCGGACGCAGCAATGTATGCGAGGCCAGAGAGGAAGCGGTGCGTGATGGGGAACCAAGGATCGGCGCTGCTGCTGCTGTTGGTGGTGCTGTTGGTGGTGCTGTTGGTGGCGGTGTTGGTGGCGGTGCTGTTGGCAGATGGAATTTGCTCCACTTGCTTTCTGCACGTGCAGAGCCACAGATGCACATGCAGAGCCACAGATGCACGTGCAGAGCCACAGATGCACGTGCAGAGCCACAGATGCACAAGCAGAGCCACAGATGCACATGCATGCAGAGCCACAGATGCACATGCAGAGCCACAGATGCACGTGCAGAGCCACAGATGCACGTGCAGAGCCACAGATGCACGTGCAGAGCCACAGATGCACATGCAGAGCCACAGATGCACATGCAGAGCCACAGATGCACATGCAGAGCCACAGATGCACATGCAGAGCCACAGATGCACATGCAGAGCCACAGATGCACATGCAGAGCCACAGATGCACATGCAGAGCCACAGATGCACATGCAGAGCCCGATAGAGGGAATCTTGATAAATCTCTGGGGTGACCACATCCTTGCCTTATCACTGCACGCCTTCCTCCCTCCACCATATCCATCCCACCCCACGTGGCTCACTTCCACCTCCCATCCCCCCTACCTACCTGGCAGCCACGGCTACCGCCTTGGGTCCGTGCTCCGCTTGGTCACCTCATCCCCCTGTCCCCTACCGCTGATCCGACGACCCCACCCCCCCCCTGCCTCCCGCGGGGTTCATAATTTTTTCCCCACCTGAGAGCCGCGGCGAGCGCGGCTAGATCGCGCCCATCCACTGCAGGGAAGTCGAACCACAGGCTGCGGTACGCCCGCTCCGCGCGCTCCCCCTCGCTCACGCGCGCGGCCGCCCTCTCCGCCGCCATGATTGCGCGCGCCATGTCCGCCGCCACCCGCCGCTGCTGCGCGCGCTCCGCCGCGGCTGAATGGGGAGCGCAGCGGAGGGCGATGGCGGGAAGGAAGCGCGCGGAAAGGGGTGAGGGCGGAAGGGCGAGGAGGGGAAACGGCGGAAGGGCGAGGAGGGGAAACGGCGGAAGTGCGGAGAGACGGGCACGAGACGGAGGGTGGGGCGGAATACACAGTCAAGGGGTACCGAGCCGCACCACGCCTAAGAGGCAGCGATGACCCGCGCGGGACCTGATAAGACCCACCGCGCCTGAGAGGCACTATCTACCCAACACGTGTCCGCATATCGCCCCCTCGTACCCGGGTCGTTGGCGTCCGCCGCGAGAAGCGCGCGCGCCACGTCGACCACAGCGGCGCGCAGCTCCCCCGTCCCCATGGCGTCGGCGATCGCGCGCTCCTGCTGCTGCCGGCGCAAGCCGCCGTCCGCCGCTTCCCCGCGCCCCATGCGCTTCACTGCGCGGATTGAACTGCCACGGCGCAAAGCAAAGCAAATGGCGCAAAGCAAGTGAGAGCGCGGAGTACTGCGAGGGAAAACGATGGAGTACAGAACTGTTGTGACACTCGCTAGCCCCTTTCGCAAAGAAGGGTCTAGTCGGGTTTGCTGGAGCCTTGGGATTGCCACGATCAAGATTCCCAGCCTCATATTGTACGCCCTGTAGGATCATTTGCATTTCCTGGATAAATACAATATACAACACTTCTACTAGTGTCCTTGATATCCCACAAAAAGATCCAAAATCATCTCATTAACCTCCACTGGGTCATGTCTAAGGTATTTCCCCGGGTGTCTCGAGGACTCCATAACGTGCTTATAAGCGAGATAGAAGTCGGTGTAAGGAGCAAGCACGCGTTGCTTCACTGCAAGGCGTAGCTCGTCTCTCAGGGGCCCTGGATTGACAAGCCACCTCGTTTGGTCGCGATGGATCTCTTCTAGTACGAGATTAAAGGCTTTGAATTTCTCCTGAGGGGTGATAATGATATTGAGATACACAGGGAAATCTGATGTGAGGATGACAAGGAAAGGTTGCTGTGAGGAAAGGTTGCATACAAAACTTAATCATTGGAGGGGGCAAGCGAGGGATGGAGCCAGCAAGGGTGGGCCTTCCTTACCTAGAGTGTGCTCTTGTGCTTACCTTGAGCGTGCTCTTGTGCTTACCTTGAGCGTGCTCTTGTGCTTACCTTGAGCGTGCTCTTATGCTTACCTTGAGCGTGCTCTTGTGCTTACCTTGAGAGTGCTCTTGTGCTTACCTTGAGAGTGCTCTTGTGCTTACCTTGAGAGTGCTCTTGTGCTTACCTTGAGAGTGCTCTTGTGCTTACCTTGAGAGTGCTCTTGTGCAGCTGTGTGGAGGGGTCGACTCTGAGCGTGTAAGTGAGGCGGGAGAAGCAGAAGCGAAGGTACTCGCTGGCGTGCTGCCGCACCAGCGCCGCCTGGCGCCGCACCCAGTCGTCCCCAACCACAACCCGCAGGTCCGACTCCTTCACCTGGGGGGCGAGGGTACAAAGGGGAGAAGGCGGGGGGAAAGAAAGGTGACAGGGGCTGAAAGCCAGGCATGAGCGGGGAGGTCGCATGCTGCCTGGCGCCGGCACGCCACACCCAGTCGTCCCCCAGGGACGACTGGGTCCGACTATTTCACCTGGGGGTTGAAGGTTGGGGGGGGAGAGAGAACGCACGGGGGTTGAAAGCCAGGCACGGAAGAACAGGGTACTCCTTCTCATGCTTCCTGGCACGGCACCCAGTCGTCCCCCACCACCACATGCAGGCCTTCCTGGTACTCCTTCATCAGCAGGAACGAGGGGGCAAAGGAGTGAAGGGGCTGACCGACAGGTTGAGACGAGGGAAGGGACATGCTGGCATGCTGCCGCACCATTGCTGCCTGACGCCGCCGTACCCAGTCGCCCCCCACAACCACCCGCACATCCGACTCCTACACCTGGCCCGTTAGCCTGCTGACCCGCTGATCCACTAGCCCGCTACTCCAACATCCCCCACTCTTCTCCCCCACTCTCTACCCGACGCACTCCTTGTTAAAGCCCAACTAATTCCTATCTCCTCCACGTCAATCCCTCTTCCCCTTCTTCCCCCTTCACCTGGGGATGGCACGTGTAGCAGCCGGAAGCCCCCACAGCACACGTGGAGCTCTAGCCCCAACAGCACACGTGGAGCTCTAGCCCCAACAGCACACGTGGAGCTCGAGCCCCAACAGCACACGTGGAGCTCTAGCCCCAACAGGACACGTGGAGCTCTAGCCCTCACAGCACACGTGGAGCTCTAGCCCCAACAGCACAGGTGGAGCTCTAGCCCCAACAGCAGACGTGGAGGGGGGGGAAAAGCCCGCAGGGGGGGGTGAGGGGTTTAGCCCGCAGGGGGGGTGAGGGGTTTTCCCGTCCCCCCCCCCCAGGCTTTTTTCCGCGCCCCCCAGGGGCTTTTCCCCGCGCCCCCCACGGCAGGCTTCCCCCTCCTGGGCTTTTCCTCGCCCCATCCCGCCCGACTTTCTCGCACCCCCCCCGGGCTTTTCCCTGCGCCCCACCGCGGGCTTTTCCCCACGCCCCCCCTGTGGGCTGTTCCCTGCGCCCCCCCCCGCCCCCCCGGGCTTTTCCTGCGGGCAATTCCCCGCGGGCTTTTCCCCGCGGCCTTTTCGCAGCGCCCCCCTGTGGGCTTTTCCCCACATGCCCCCCCCCAGGCGTTTCCCCGCCTCCCCTGCACGGTTCCCCCCCCCCCCCGGGTTTCCCCCACACCACGTTCACCACCAACACCTCATACTCCAGCACGTAGTGAGCCCAAAACACACGTTTCTTGCCATGTAGTGGATGTTGTTGAGCAGAAACACGTCCTTTTCTTGGAGCCTCACAAAGGAAACGACGGGCTACTAACAACGAACGCATCCAAAGCGCACCTTTCTCGCCATGTAGTGGATGTTATTAAGCAGAAACACCTCGCCCTGTGCGGGGTCCCGGTACTGCCGCGCCTTGCCCTGCAGGTTGCCCTCCAGCACCTGCAGCTTCCACACCACCTTCACCGCCAGCACCTCATACTCCGGTACCCCCTTCCCTCGGAACCCCTCCCTTGCCTCCCTCCTCGCCTGCTCCCTCCTCCTCGCCTCCTCCTCCTCACTCTCACTGTCCTCCGTCTCACTCCCCTCCCCACTCCCACTCAGCTCACTCCCGCTCGACGTGCTCGGCGTACCTAAGCTGCTCTCCCTCCTCCCCACGTCCCTCCCACTCCCATCCCTCCCACTTCCCCCTCCCTTCTTCTTTGAAGCAACCAGCTTATGGATCTTCCCTGCAGCAGCGTCATCCCCTTTCTTCAACAGCCGGGTGAGCGAGTCTCGATACTCATAGAGCAGAATGAGGTAGTTGACCACGTAGCGGGTGAGCCCGTGGATGGTGGCCGTGGCAGGGATGTCGGAGCTGTCCCTCTCGATGCCGTTCTCAAATTCTGAGAGGATCGCGCTGATGGCAACACCGAGGCGCGTTACAACCAGGCCAAAGTCGTCCCGCAGGCTGGTGCATGGGCCGTCACCTGCACCACGGGTGAAGGGGCAAGGGATTGACGGAGGGTTGTGAACACTGGTAAGTGGAGAACAGGCTTTGGAAGGGAAGGGTGGTCAGGGGGCTTTGAACCACACAGAATTTGGGCTCGCCAACCCAAGGCATAGTCCATACTTGCATGGAGAAGAGAGGTCGGGTGCATCACCGACAGACACGCCCTTGCAGCATGCATGCAGCCTTTCACGTACCTTAGCATGCGGCATTGAATTCGCCCTGGAACCAGCTGATGATCTCGTATGTACAGGTCGAGCATGGAGAAGAGATCCAGCGTGCCGTGAGCGGACCTTTACATGCAGCACTGACAGGCACTTGCAGCATGCCGCCCTGAACGCACCTTTGCATGCGGCGTTGAAGTCCCCCTGGATGCTGCTCATGATCTCGAAGAGGTCCAGCATGGAGAAGAGCCGCTCCGGCAGGCGCTTGTCGAGGGCAAACGCCTCCGCAAAGGCAAAGATGAACCGCACCGCCGACGCTGCCACCTCGTGGAAACACATCTCAGAAAGCTGGGGCGGGGGGGAAGGGGGGCAAGCGATGAAGGGCGAGGGGAGGGCGAAGACAAAGATGAAATGCACCGCCGATGCTGCCACCTCGTGGAAAGACATGTCCGAGAGCTGTGAGGGGGGGGAGGAGGGAGGCGGGGTGGCAGGGGGCACACGGGTGAAAACATGAGCGGAGAGGGGCAAGCAATGAGGGCGATGGCCTCTGAAAATGGTTCAAGCAGGTTCTCGGACCCTAGGTTCAAGCAGCTCTACTTCGAGCTCGAGCGGTGGGAGGGGCCCCACGAGCGGTTAGCGGGTGAAGCCAGTGGGGGGCGTAGGGCGGTGCGCGGCGTCACTGAGGAGCAAGTGCTGACATGGGTCAGGAAGCGCTTGAAGTCCTACCTAGACGAGCAGAGCATGCGTGCGGTGGACGGGGGCCAGGAGGGGACGAGCACAGGGGGGGCGTGGGACGGGGCGAGGGGAGTGGCCAGGCCCCGAGGTGAGGGGCGCTTGTTTGACATGCTGGGCTCGGCAATGGCAGAGGTGGAGGCGAGAGCAGGAGTGGCCGCGCCGGATGAGGTTGACAGGTACCTCCAGGAGGCGCGTTTGGACATGGACGAGTGTCCGCTCGCTTGGTGGCACACGCGCTTGTCGTACCCGGGGTTGCAGGCGATGGCACGAGACTACCTAGCCATCCCTGCAACCTCGGCACTGAGCGAGCGGGCGTTCAGCCAGGGGCAGAACGTGGTCACCTGGCAGCGTCACCACCTGAGCACTGCCAAGGTGCGTGCAACCATGACACTCAAGTCATGGATGGCACATCGCGCCGACGGCAGCCTCCCGGTGGCGACGCTGGATCAGGCCATGGGGGGGCTGTGCCTTGAGGGTGACGACGAGGGGTTGTGAGGAGTGGGTGCAGGATACAGCCCCATTGCAAAGTTTTTCAGATCGTACACATTCCAGTGCTTGTGCCATGTTCGGACCCGGCATTGAGCTATCGGGCCATGCAGACATGGTTCCATTCCATGCTTGTTAAATGATTGAGACCAGCCGTAGAATGGATTGCGTGCGTGAAACACATAGTAGGTATTTGTTGATGCTTTGTAGCGCGATCCAAAACAAGCTAGGCAGGTACAGGTGTACCGTGGTGGCTAAAAGCCCACAAAAATCCGGATTAGAATTTTCTGCATGACCACACTGCTGTCACAAACCTGCGAGACAGATAAACAAACAAGAAAAAGCATACCGAGCATACCCAGAATACCAAGCATACCAACCATACCAAGCATACCAAGCATACCAAGAATACCAAGCACACCAAGCAGCATACTAAGCATACCAAGCATACCAAGCATACCAAGCCTACCAAGCATACCAAGCCTACCAAGCCTACTAAGCATACCAAGCAGCATACCAAGCAGACCAAGCATACCCTGTGAGGCGCAGGGGAAGTGTGACCCAAGGGAAGTGAGACCGAGGATCGGAGTTGCGCAGTTTTCTCTCCGACTGTAGCACCACGCGCATATGTGTGTTCCCCCCCTCCCCGCCCAACATAACCCCCTTTCTCACCTCTCTCAAGCTCAATCTCCCCCCCCGACGTCACTCACATTCCCCTGGCCCTGGAACACGGAGTCGCAGAGCCGCCTTTTTGCCAGCAGCACGGCGTGCACATGTGTGTATACAGCTGTCGTCCTCCCCACATATCCCCCTCCCCTTCCCCCACTCACATTCCCCTGCTCTTGACACACGGAGTTGCAGCGCCACCGCCTCCCCCCCACACACAGACATGCACACGCACAGAGCGGCTTCACTCACATTCCCCTGGCCCTGGAACACGGAGTCGCAGAGCCGCCTCTCAGCCAGCAGCACGACGCGCACGGCCAGCCGGGCGAACTGCATCCACGCCTTCACGCGCTCCTCCAGCGCCTCCCACCGCACGCCACCCATGTCCTCTGGCCGGAACTGCCCCGCCGCCAGCTGCTCTAGGGTCCTGTCCAGGGCCTGCAGTGCGGAAGGGGGAGGGCAACACAGAGACCATACAGCGATTCGTTGCCTTCGTGCGCTCCTCCAGCGCCGCCCACGCCCACCACATAGCGCCCATGTCCTCGGGCCGGGATTGGCCCGCTGCTAGCTGCTCGAGGGACCTGCCCAGGGCTTGGGGGCAGATTGGGGGGAGAATATGTGAGTGCTCTCATTGACAGGTCACCTCCAGCGCCTCCCACCGCACGCCTCCCATATCCTCAAGGCGAAAGTGCCCCGCCACCAGCTGCTCTAGCGTGCGGTGTAGGGCCTGGTGGGGGAAGAGGAAGTGGAGAAGAAGAGACAGGAACGGCTGGCTGGGGGGCTCGTGACAAGCTGAGCAGCGAGCGCAAAAGCTAGTCAAGAAGGGTCGGGACGACGGGATGATGAGGCCAGAACCGGCAGTGCCATTCCCACCTCCCCACTATCTCCATCCAACCCTCACGCCCTTCCTACTCTCCCCGAACCGTACCTGCCTCCGGACCGCTCGGTAGGTCTCCAGACACGTCTGGCCCAAGCCAGCCTGCACCATCCGCCGAGCCACCTCCCGAACCTGCAGCGCAGCTTGGGGCTGCATCAGGTACGGCCCGCCATCCGAGCCTCCCTTCGACCCCCTCCCTCCGACGCTACCACCGCCGCTGCTGCCGCCCGTCCTGCTCTTAGTTGCGGCTTGGTAGACCGCCTCTGGTTCTAGCGGCTTAGAGTGCGCTTTAAGGACGTACCAGAATCCCTGCTCTAGCCACGGCCGCGCCGCGGCTGCGAACCACTTGGCTCTATGAAGCATCTCGGCAGCTTCGCTGCTGCTCCCGCCGTATCTGCCCGACTCACACGTGTCGATCACGGATTGGATGGAATCTAGGGCTTGGAGATACGCGTCCACGTTGACGTTCGGACCTTCCCATAGGCGGAGGCTCGCTGCTGACGTGTCGCTTTGAGCCTGCGAGGTCGCGGAGCGCGTGCTGCTTCGCGAGGACGGCCGGCTGCTGCCGCCGCTTCCGCCGCCGTGTGATGACGTGTCGGAGTGCCATTGGCGGAGAACGCGCTCCGCGTTCTGGAGGGCCGCTCGGGTAACAGTCGTAGAGGCGGTAACCATGCTGGGGGCATACGTCGGTCGCAGCTAGGGTTACCCGACAGACCGTAGACTGGCAGTGGGACTAGCTATGCACCACGTGTCGCTTTATGGGGGAATACTCTAGAAGCATAACTGCACCTAATCGCGAAAAAGACGAACTCGACTACTGCTAAAGTCACAGCATCGAGCACCAGGATTATCTCTCAGCGAGGCTAGATTGCCGCACCTTCTGTCGAGAGCTCTACCGTTTGACAAGGGCGCACAGATGCACAAGCAACAAGTCTACTGGAGATACGCGGGCCGTGCGGGTATGGCTGCGCAATGGTTATGTGTAAATGGTGAGGGGTGAGAGGAAGAGACTGAGAGGACTGCGGAGTTGACGGAGCGAAGGAAAGGAATGCGGCTGACAAGCTTTGCTGGTCCAGTGCCTGCGGTTGCATCTGAGAAGTCAGGACTCCGGAGTCTGGACTGGATGCCTGATGGCAGAATGATGGTCGCAGACTGGCAAATGTGGTGGTCATTGTCAGCATGAGTGAATCAACTCGCTGTTTCGCCAAAAGTGTGAGCCCTCGCAAGCTACACTACTTCGCTGTTCCTTCCGTAAATCAATTAGCCAATCTTTCATTCCCCTCCGGTTTGTAGTAGTAGCTCAAGAACAAGACACATTTCATATGCAAGGGAAAAGGGTTACTGCTCGAATACAATGCTGAGAAGGTCGAAACACTTCGACCATCAAACGCGCTCTGTAGCGGGAAGTTCTAGAGGAACCCTGAGTATTACTGGGCATAATAACCCTGCTGATAATACCCTGATGCAGCACCAGCAGCAGGGGCAGCAGCAGCAGCCGGTGCAGCAGCATAGCCAGACTGAGCATATGGCTGCAAAAGCAGCAAGTGGGGAGACAAAAGAACACATGAAGAAGCAGATGCGAGCAGTGAATCAGCAAGTGCATCCATCCAAGGGACCAAGCGAAAAATTTACTGCAGACTCTCCCTGCTCCCCACCCCTTCCCCCTTTTGCATATGCAAAAGCTGGGCTGTTGAAGACCGTACCTGAGCATAAGTCTGCCCATACGCCGCATATCCTGCTGCAGCAGCCTGCGGAGCAGCAGGAGCAGCAGCAGCCGCGGCAGGGGCGGCTGAGTAACCACTGTAGCCAGCATAGCCTGAATACGCCTGCAGTGACAAAGAAGAAAACACACAGAGGAGAGGGAAACGAGAGAAAAGTTGGACACATACCAAACATGCTGGACACGAGAAAACCCTAATTTCCCTGCCAGACAATAGTCCCAGTCACACCTCTCTTGAAAAACCTGACCCCTCCCTGCCCTGCCCTGCCTGCCCTCCCCTCCCCTCCCCTCCACCCAGTCTCCTCCCCATCGCCAGCACTCTTACCTGTTGCCCATACGCCCCCCATTGCCCCTGCTGAGCCGGCGAAACAGCAGCCACCGGCGCAGCAGCAGCAGCAGCAGCAGGTGAAGCCGGTGCCACTGGCGCCACTGCCGGCTGCTGCCACCCTCCCTGCTGCCTCTGTGCCCCATACCCTCCTGCAGCAGCAGCTCCATAGCCACCAGCACCGCCAGCACCGTAGTAGTTGGACGAGGGAGCGGAGGCCCGGTGGTGCTTGTACCCGCCAGCTCGGTCATGGTAGGAGGCATCGGGGTGGGAGCGCTTGCGGGAATCGGCAGAAGCTGCGGTGGCGGCGGCAGTGGAGGGGCGCTTGAAGGGGAAGAGCGAGCGGTGGCGCGCTGCCACCTGCTTCACTGCTGCTGCGTCTCCCAAGAGATCCGCCAGCTGGAAGAGGAGAGGGGGGGGAGGGGGGGGAGGGACGGAGGAGGGATGTGGAGCATAAGAAAGAAGTAGGAAGAGGATGACTCTTGCAGGGGAAGAGGGAGCAGTGGGGCGCTGCCACTTGCTTCACTGCTGCTGCGTCTCCCAAGAGGTCCGCTAGCTGGAAGAGAAGAGTGGGTTGGGAAGAGAGGAGGGATCCAGAGAATGAGAAATGAAGAGATTGGACGCATGGGTGGATCAGGCAGAGCCCAACGCCGAAACCATGCTGATGCCCCTCCTACCTGCCGCCCCTCTCAGTTCTTGCCTCAGAGCTCAGCCCTCAAGCTTCTAATATTACCCGTTGTGCGCTCCCACTTCCAATCGTCATTAGAAGCATCCCCCCTCACCTCCAAGGCAACGGTCGAGATGTCCTCCCTGTCAGCCGCAGAGAGCAGCGGAGTGCCATCAGCCTTGGCTCTGGCGAGTGCGTCGGCCACCAGTGCTTCCACTCGCCCCATGCGCACCGACGGTGACGCGCCAGGCACTGACGCCTCAAAGGAGATGGCCGCCTGGGAGTAAGGAGGGGCACAAGAGAGGGGAAGTGTGAGGGAGACGCAAGGGGAGCCCTGTCAGCCTTGGCTCTGGCGAATGCGTCGGCCACCAGTGCTTCCACTCGCCCCATGCGCACCGACGGTGACGCGCCAGGCACTGACGCCTGCAAGGAGATAGCCGCCTGGTGGTAGTGTGAGGAGTGGAGACGGGAGTGGGGAGGACGTTTGAAGCGGAAGAAGCTACACCGTGAAACGCATGAGGCGATTGCCCCTATGCTGTAAGCCGTGCATGAGGACTAGCATCATACCAGCCCCAGGGTGTGTTATATCCAGACACCGGCATCAAAATGAGTGTGCTCTACACACACCTGCCAGATGGTCCTGTTCTCAGGTGCGGCGTCGATCGCTGCTTTGAATGCTTCCCGGGCCTTCTCCTCCTCTCCTCCAACCTGCAACCACCCCAATACGCAAATCAAAGCCGCAAAACTCCAAGATGAATGTTGCTATCCAAAAACCCCGTGTGTGCTTATATGAATGTGTGCCCAACACCCAACACTGAAAGGGTACAGTGAATGTGCTTATATGTGCTTACAGTGAGCAGGTAGCGTGCTTGCTGCAGGTAGAGGTAGGGCAGGATCTTGGAGCCCTCTTTCGCCTTCTCCCCCTCCACTGCTGCGTCCAGCACTGCTGCCCCCGCCGCTGCACCCGACTGCAAGGGCAAATCGGCAAGGAAAGGAACCAGCAAGCGTGCATGGGGACGCTATTTTTGAGGCGCCTCAAAACGGAAAGGAAAGGAATCAACCAGTGTGCATGGGGACGTGAGCCGACACACTGATCTCACAGATGGATGCTTTCATCAACAATCTCCACAGCAAGACAGGCTCCTCCTCACATTAAACTCCCAAATCATACCCAACATACGCAGCCCTCACTCCGCCCAAGACCTTGGCATAAGAAATCACCTGGTGTCTCTCCCTAACCCAATCACCAGCAGTCACCTCCCCCAGTGATTCCCTTCCTTCGCTTTCCTCCACCTCACCTGTCGTCTCTCCAGGTTCGCCTTCTGCACAGTCAGCTCCAGCAAACCAGCTGCAAGCGATGCAGCCGTGTCCAGCGCTGACATGGCACCCTCCACGTCACCATGCTGCTCCTTGTACCGGCCGGCAAACAGGTGGATCTCCGGGCGGCGCTGCAAAGAAACGGAAGAGAGGGCAAGGCGGTGCAGCGGTACAGGCAAAGGCAACACAGGTTAGTCAGAGAGGGCCACCAACCCTCCAGGGCAAGCTTTAAAACAAGAAAGGAGCTGTGCGTTTGGAATGCAGCTAAGCCTGCAGGTTGACTAAAACGACAACACAAGGCAAGTGTCACAGCCTGAGATAGTCGTATGTGCAAGATAAAAAAGAGTCAGCCTCCCACACACTCTATATCTCTCCTTCACAGGACAGGACCTCACCTTAACAAACACCGCCGTGGCTCTTAGCAGCGCGTCCTTAGCCCTCTCATCCTCGTTATTGGCATCCATGCACTCCACATAGCGCACCCAGTACTCGGGGTAGTTGGCACACGGCACAACGCACCGCTCGTAGATGTTGATGGTCTGACGGGGATGGGCGGATGGGAGGCATGCGAGGGCAAAGAAACAACAGGTGAGCATGCAAAAATGGCTCCCTTAAAAATGCACCATCACTCCCCCGTGGAAAGCACCATCACTCACCCGTGCGATGCTGCCCTCCTTCTCTGTGAAGTCCAGGTATCGGTGCCAGTTGCCCAGCTGCGCCTCGTCCAGCGGCTTCACGTGGAAGTAGGGGCGCTTGATGACCACCTCGTACTCGCGGATCTCGGCGTCGCGCCGCTTGCTGCTCTGGTACATCACGTCCCTCAGCGCCAGGTACTCCGCCAGCTGCTGCTCGTCCGTCTTCGCCACCGGCACTGGCGCGGCCGCTGCTGCAGGCGGCGGGGCAGGCGTTGGGGCAGCAGCAGCAGGGGCAGCAGCAGGGACGGCTGCGGTAGCGGCATCGCCAGGGGCAGCATCAGCCATAGGAGCCTCTGCTCCTGGGGCAGCATCAGCGTCCGCTGCTGCTGCAGCAGCAGCAGCAGCAGCATCGCCTTCAGCTGCCTTCGCCTCTGCGTCTCCCTCCTTGGGCTCTTCCGCACCGGGAGCAGGAGTGGCGTCCTCCCCAGCAGGCTGCGAGGGCGCTGCTGTCTGCACCTTGAGCGCCGCTGCAGCGGCCGCCGCCACCTCGGCTGCGGCTGCTGCGGACTCCTCTGGCGTGCGGATCTCGTCGAGCGTGTGGGACGTGGCGAAGTGGCGGAAGCTGAGGGATGATGTGACAGGAAGGGAGGAGGGAGGGGAGAAACCGTGATGCGTTCAGGGGAGGAAGGAGTGGTGTGGCATTTGCATGGAACCTGCAGCATGCGCTTGTAAACCATTCGAACCCAGCAAATATGCCACCCCAATGTCCACCCGGCCCCTATGTGCTACCCTCCCACTCTCTCATTCCCCCTCCAGCGCCCCCGTCGTCTCTACCCCCCCCCCCCCCCACCTTACGCGTGGTAGTAGTGGTCGAGCTGCTGCAGCGACACCTGCAGCATGCGCGTGTAGATGGCGGCCACCCAAGAACCCACCAGCCATGCCGCCCAGTGCAAGCCAAGCCCTTGCCTACACCCACCCATTCTCTCATTCGCCCCCAAACCCCTAGCCACCGCACTCACGCGTGGTAGTAGTGGTCGAGCTGCTGCAGCGGCACCTGCAGCATGCGCGTGTAGACGGCGGCCACCTTGCTCCACTCGGCGCGGCCGCCCTCGTAGTCCAGGTACTTCTGCCACAGCGTGTGCGACAGGTAGTCCGTCCCCACGTACACCAGCGCGCGCTCAAACAGCCTGCACGGTGAAACATGGCGCCCCCCACCAAACACCAGCATCACACGGTCACACCCCCCCATTTACATGGTTCGCATGAGCCCCACACACCGCACACGCGCATGGAACCAAGGCGAAGGAGGAGGCACAGGCAGAGGAGGAAAGACATCAGCTGTCAAGGGAAGAACACCGCTAATCAGAGGGAAAGGGCGGGCGAGAAAAGCTGAGGTATGAAGGGAAAGAAGGGAGAAAAGTTGAGAGTAGAAGAAAGCTGGACTCGAGGGGATGTTCGGCACTCACACAACCCGATGCTCAGGGTACACGAAGGGTGGGTAGATGCCACCATACACGAAAAAAGAGGCTGCTTGTAAGGAGGACGCAGAGCGAATTAGCCGAATTGAATCGAGTTCACCCATCTCATGGCGGCTGCCAGCAGATGGGGTTTCTTTTACCTCTTTTTGCGCCAGCGCGGCCAATCCAATTTCTTTTCCTTTCCCTGCCCGGCTGCCTGTAAAAACCGCTAGGTAGTTAGGCGTTGGCCAGCCCGTGACGCTTCATACGAGCATCGGAGGAGCGGGAGCGTGTTCGTTACAAGGCTTGAGAAGTGAGCGGGAAACGGGTACAGGACTCTACGCGGACAAAAACAGCTAAGAAACATAAACGGCGCAGGAATAAAGGCGAACCGAAATCGCGAGGTGGCTTATAAAGCAGCAGGAAATGAAGACAGGGTGAATTCGCGAGGAAAAATGGGATGGTGGAGACGAGGGGAGGGGGGGAAGTGGGTAAACGGGACGGGGACGAGGGGTTCTCCCACGCTGGTGAGAATCTGCAGGGAACACCGAAGGGAGTTAGCGGCAGCAGAAGCAGCTGCAGCGACCAGCGAGCGAACTACGGAAGAAACGGAAAAAACTAACGGCGAAAAAGGGAGTGGACTCAAAAAAATGAATCGCCATACTCACTCCCAAGCAGACTTTGCTGCGAGCCTTGGAGATGGGCCACAGGGACCATGGGGGTGAGGGGTGGATCAGAATTAAGGGCTGCAACGACCATGGAGTCGGGGAATGCTGGAAAGCAGCCCAAAAAAACTTCCGTTAAGCTCGGAACTTGACGAAGCGGTGCGGTGCTCGGACTTGCACCGACGGAACATCGAATAGCAAGCTCAGGAAAGCTGCCACGGCAGAAAGAGGCTCTCTGAGGCTGGGAAGCAAGAGCAGTCGACGGGGATTCGGATGTGCACCTGCGGATCTCCTCGGCGTCTTCGACGGTGGCGATGAGGTGCGTGACGTAGTGCAGCCAGATGTCGACGCTGTACGGCACAGCCGCAACCGCGCGCTCGTACACCTCCGCCACCTTGTCCTTGTTGCCGTGGCGCTGCTCGTGGTCGGCGTACTTCTTCCAGTACCCGAAGCACAACGGGAACTCCGCCAGGAACGTGTCGTACACGGCGCGCAGCCCCTCCAGCTTGTCCTGGGAGCGAGGGGGGAAAGAGCTCGATATAAGCTAATCGATCCTCGTTCAAACGAAGTTTTTCGCCAGACAGATAAGAGTGGAAATTGGTGTCCAAGCGAATAGCGGTTAGATCCGCGAGAGCAGGTGAGAGGGAAGGGAGAGGGGGGGGGGGGGGGGGTTTGGGGGGGCCGACGTACCGACTTCTCGCTCTCGTGGATGAGCGCGACCCACGACTCGAAGTCGCCCGAGTTGGCGCGCACCAGACCCCACAGTCGCTCCTCCTCCGTCGGTGCCGCCGGCGCCGCGGGCGCTGCCACGCGGGACGGACAAATAAGAAAGGACGGAAAGAACAAATATGGGATTTTTTTCTGGAGCCGTCATGAAGCACGAAAGGACCAGCCACGTGTTTTAAGTTCCGGAAGAGAAAATCGCTACGAAACGGACGGATGAAATGCGGAAACGCATTGGCTTGAGCTACCCCGGGACAGCAGTCGATGTACCTTCAGGTGCAGGAGCGGCAGCAGCCTCAGCAGCTTCAGCCGGTACCCCGTCGCCGGCAGGAGCTGCAGCATCGGCTGCAGGGGTCACTCCAGCATCGGCTGCAGGGGTCACTCCAGCATCGGCAGCAGGAACAGCAGCTGCAGCATCAGTTGCAGGAACAGCTGCACCATCCGCAGCAGGGGCGGCTGCACCGTCCGCCGCAGCAGCATCATCACCAGCGCCGGCCTGAGCAGCCGCAGCCGCAGCCGCCTCTTCCGCCGCCGCTTCCTCCTCCGCTGCTGCCTCCGCCACGGCAGCTGCAGCAGCAGCCGCAGCGGCGGCAGCTGCGGCCGCTTCAGCAGATCCGTTCTCTTCAACCCCGTCTTGTGCCATGGGATCGTCAGTCGCGGCTGCTCCGGTGTCGGTGGCGGCAGCATCGCCTGCTCCTTCGCCATGGACGTCCATCTGCACTGGCTGGTCTTCCTCAGACGCCATGTCGCTCAAATAGTCGGACGGTTAGAAGTTAAAAGCTAAGATATTAAAAGGTGCTGGAGGAAATGACAGGCACCAAGTGCAAGCTTAGCTGACACGGACACGGTGATGGTCTAAGAGACACACAACTAAAACCTAGGACTACGCAAATGGTCTATGAGGCTCTTGCTGGCCCCGATAGGTCCCAAACTCCCAAAGGTTTCTGGATCCGATAAGCTACAGTTGGAACCATGTCCAACAGAATAGGTTCGATATATCATGATTAAAAAATTATTCAGATAGACTACATGTGGTAACCATGGAGATTCCGCAACACCAAATCTTTCATGCATGGAGAGTGACGGTGGCTGATGATTAATGTGTTTTCTATATTCGTTGGGCATATATGCAATAGCCTTCTCTTCTGAACTCACTGATGGCCAATGAGCAAGAACTTTAGTGAGGATTACTACATGCACCCTTGCATGTATGGTGTCATAGAGCTCTTAAAAATGGTGGTATTTGAGCCTCAGGCGCCAAAATACTGGATTTACAAGCCATTTAATTTTGATTAAGTTATGAAAATATTCCTAGACCTCCTTGGGGAGGGCAACATATGCTAGAAGCATGAGACTTCCATGCTGTTATACAGAGTGCAATTTCCATGCAGCTGTTTCCTTATGCTCCAAAGGAGCAACTCAATTGCATAGACGGGACCACCTTCCCTCTACGCTCTTCCAAGAATCTTTGATCCTCTGATGTGGCTGGTCGGTCAGCAAGGCGGTGAGTCAGCACCACGATGGCTCTATTACACATCCTTCCAGCTCAACCATTGGTGGACCCCTACTGAAGGCACCACTAATTCCTCAATTACGGGAAGATCCTGAGTTCTCCATCAAAAGCCTGTGGCAGAAGCAGCAGACAGAACCGTTTTTGGTCTCCATCCACCTTCGCTGACATTTTGCCTGTTGGAGACCCACCTTCTGGTGCAAAACCGACTGGACAGGCTCTAGTTACACAACCAAGAGCAAGAAAGTTGGTTGGGCCTGGACTCATAAATACCTCCAGCAGCTCTTTTGGTTTCCCAATGAGCTACCTAGTGAGGACTGTCATTGGGAGGCTTGCTGCGTCCCCACGACCTCAACATCAGCACGTGCGAATCTTGTTTTCCCGAGCATATTCCGGCATGGCGTTCCGTGAAGAGAAGGATACGTTTGGGCCCATCCAGGTCCCTGCCGACAAGTAAGCAAATTCCCCTTGTGTCACCGGGACAAATTCCCTCTGAAAGTCGCAACAATTATGACATTCGACATTCTCTGGTTTGCAGATACTGGGGAGCGCAAACCCAGAGATCCCTTCAGAACTTTGAGATCGGAGGAGAGAGGGAGAGGATGCCTGATCAGATCGTGAAGGCATTCGGAATCCTGAAAAAGGCTTGCGCTCAGGTACGAGCCTTGCTTTTATTTCGGCGAGATCTATCTTGACCTTGTGGTCGTGAAGGATCATTGTATGTCGACCCTCATAAGGTCTGCTTCCGTAAATGCAGGTCAATCTGGGATACGGTTTGGACCCGAAGATCGGAAATGCAATCATTCAGGCCTCGCAGGAGGTTGCAGAGGGAAAGCTTATGGACCAGTTCCCCCTAGTCATCTGGCAGACTGGTAGCGGAACTCAGTCGAACATGAACGCCAACGAGGTGCATTATCTGATTCAATGCCCTTAACTTGCTACGGTCCGTGCTCCAGAGATATAATCTTCTTGTTCGTTGTTTCAGGTCATTGCGAACCGTGCCGCCGAGATTTTGGGATCCAAGCTTGGCGACAAGGGCATTGTTCACCCGAATGACCACGTGAACATGAGTCAGTCTTCCAACGATACGTTCCCCACTGTAAGAACACGAGCCTCGTGTCCCTTCCAGTAAGGCAACTTGACGTACATGCGAACTTTTTGTAGACATTGACACTGACTTGGCAATCCAAATGCAGGTGATGCACATCGCTGCTGTTGTGGAGGCGCACTCAAATCTGATTCCGCACCTTCGGTCCCTTTATGATGCCGTTGCTGAGAAGGTATGAGTCCACCATTCCTGGTGCCCTCTCTCAGTAGATTATCATGTACGAACTGAAACAACCACCATACTGTTGAGCAGGCTGAGGAATTTAAGGACATTGTCAAGATTGGCCGCACTCACACTCAGGACGCAACGCCGCTAACTCTTGGACAGGAATTCAGTGGCTACGCCACGCAGGTAAGGAATGTCTGTAGATTTTCCCGATGCTTTAGCTAGCAGAAGTTTTAGATTCGCCTGTTGTTATTCACACATTGATTTCCTCCGTTCGCAGATCAAGTATGGCATTCGACGTATCGAGGATACTCTCCCTCGCCTGTACCAGGTGCGGTTCTGCCTGTAGCATGCATGCGCTTGAGTTTTCTTACCATGCGGTGGTGTTCACTCAAGTACGTTGTGTTCTCGCCTGCAGCTCGCACAAGGAGGAACTGCTGTCGGCACTGGTCTCAACACCAAGTTGGGGTGAGTGAGCCATATGGAGTGGTTGCAACGTTTCCGACGATCCCTTTGGTTGTTGCTATAGTTATCCTTCCAGGCTTCCCAACTCATTCATTGTTGCCAAGCTCGCAGGTTTGACGTGAAGGTGGCTGCGGCTGTTGCTGAGGACACCAAGCTGCCGTTCATCACTGCAGAAAACAAGTTTGAGGCACTGGTAGGTACCGTTCCATCTTTCAAGAATGGGTCCAAGTTCGCTGCTGTTTATTCTAAGTAATCTAATTGCAACGGCCAACCTGATAGAAAGTTGCGTTTTCTTCCTCCAGGCCGCTCATGATGCGCTTGTGGAGTCAAGCGGGGCGCTCAACACAGTGGCCGTGTCCCTTATGAAGATTGCGAATGACATTCGCTTCCTTGGCAGGTAAGTTGTTCGAACTTGCAGTTAAGGCTGGGCTTTCACACCATATGGAATGACACGGAGAACCATCATATTCGGAATGGAGATTGATCACACTCGGAACGGGAAATAATATTAATCTTGTCAACATCTTTTCCCCCTGTGTGCAGTGGGCCTCGGTGTGGGCTTGGTGAGCTTTTCCTGCCAGAGAATGAGCCAGGCAGCAGCATCATGCCTGGCAAGGTCAACCCAACACAGTGTGAGGCACTCACGATGGTGTGCGCTCAGGTGGGTGACTTATCCTTGGCTAGTTGTGGTTCTCGATCAGTGTCTACTATCTTGCACCGCTTACTGATAGTTGTGCACGCGCCATGGCAGGTGATGGGCAACCATGTTGCTGTCTCTATTGGAGGTTCCAATGGTCATTTTGAGCTCAATGTCTTCAAACCACTTATGGCTGCAAATCTGCTCCAGGTCAGTGCTTTCAGCTGAAGGTGTGATTTCTTGGGAATGTATGCCGTTCCTTTTTTTGCTGAAGTGGTATCCATCCACTGACTCCACACTGTCATGCTCTCTTTTTGTTTTCACATCAGTCCATGCGTCTTCTGGGTGATGCCGCTCTTTCCTTCAAGAAGAACTGTGTTGTTGGAATTGTTGCAAACCGAGCTCGTATCTCTGACATCATGAAGCAGGTGCGTATATAATGCAACAATCTCGCATCATTCTCCTCTGTTACCACTTCTTCCAGTATGGAAAGTCTTTCGTACTGACTGGTTCACTTGCTGTGTTGTGCATCTGACGACCTGCCTCTGCCATCCAGTCGCTGATGCTTGTTACTGCATTGAACCCAGTAAGTCCCTAGGTCATGACTCCATTTCAGCAGAGTTCGTTTGTATCTTTTGCTGCAGTCTGATGGATTTTTTTTTTTTCACTTCTGCAGCACATTGGATACGACAAGGCAGCTGCTGTTGCCAAGAAAGCTCACAAAGAAGGAACTACCCTCAAGGTAATGTGGAAGGCTGCTACCAATTTTGTGGAACTGCAAACTCGTTGCCAATACATGTCTTGGTTGCATTCTCTTATTCAGGAAGCGGCCATTGCCCTCGGAGTGATTACACCAGAGAAGTTCGATGAAGTGGTGGTCCCAGAGAAGATGCTTGGTCCGTCATAGATCATCTCAAGAGTGTTCCACAAGAGCTTGGTTGTCGCATATGTTTGGATGTGTTGAAATTCTGTTTAGTATACAGCTGCATTAATGTTCAGCAGGGCTGTAGCATTTGGTGCAGTCATATACTACAGTTGTGACATGCAATTTTGTTCACCCAAGGCAGCTGCTGGTGCTGAAAGACACACTGAAGCAACCGCTTGAGAGAAATGAAACTCTACTAGCAAATTCTCATTACTGCGACCATATCTTGTCATCATTCTCCTAAGCAGGCAACCACCATTGTGCTCACAGCGAAGATGCCATCATGCCATGTGTGGAGTAAGTACACCAGAAGAGGAAGATGAAATAATTTAATTGATACATTGAAAACTGTTGGAAATATCTCAAAGAACTTAAGCGTTACTGAAGTGTAACACTACACTCGAGGAAGACTACAGGGGAGCACGCGAGTCAACGGAGGTTACACGAGGGGGCGGACAAAGAATGCGAAAAGACCCGAAAGGTCGCAACTGGAGGTTGCGACTGACCGTTACAGCATCACGGATGGTAACCGAAGCGGCAATCGAGTCGCTATGCGACTCGATAAACCGTTCCTGTAACTGTACTCTGCAACTGCTTTCTTATCTTCTATATATTGCTGTATGCTTGTTTCTTTAATCAATCACTTGTTCTCACATACTAGTACAAGGGTTCAACTGCCTCAACTTCCGCTGCACTACTCCAAGTCTCAAGTCTCTACAAGCTGGGACTTAGTCTCTGCAAAAGATCCTAAGGCCTTTTTTCAGCCCAACATGGTATGAGAGCTGGTCAGAGACCAAACTCCCAGCAACTACGCTCCATCAACGACCTGCAACTCAACTCAATTCAACGACTTCATTGATTACAAGACATGGACAGCAAGGGCAAGAAAGTCTCTACGGGCTCACCCAGCGCCCAAGAAACTCAACACGGCAACTCTGGTCTGCACACCTCAGGACTGCAGACAGAGACCGGGACTGCTCAAGAAACAACGGGAAGAGCACCGGAGATGGTGACTCCGTCTCCCTCTTCAAGTGTGGACCCGAATCTCATGGAGAGATTCTTCAGCTTCATGTCACA